CAATTACGTTAATTTTAGCTGCTCTGTTTCTAACCTGACCGTTTCTGATTTACACTATCGCCACACAGCTGGCGTTGCTGTCTATGTCGTCTAGCGTTGTTCCTTTCATTTGCTGCTGTTCCGCCATGCTGCCACAGTGAAAGGGAAACATTAAACAGCTGTCCGCCGCTACTGCGGCCGTCGTAAACTTAATAGTACTGCCTCTCCTTGCGTATCGTAAAATTTTTAGGTAATTTCGCTTCCATCATTTTACCGCAATTTCTGCATTTCTTTTTTTATTAACGTATAAAATTGAGATCACTTCAATGTCGATCAACAGTCGTTAGTTAGTGATAGTGTGGCGTACAACAGCAGCCCGTCGAAAGCGTTAGCAAAGTGCCTGTCTGTCAAAGTGAATCAATCAATTGAAGGATATACATAGTACATACACATACGCACGCGCGCTTTCGGAATGTTGCCGCGAAGGACTATGGAATATTTGATTTACTTGGGATTTTTTATTTTACTACTAAAATTCGCTGATGCAGCCACTGTACCCACTTCTGAGGATACAATCAGCGAGAATAGCATTAAGCCTCCGCCCTTCTCACATCTTACATCTACAGATAGTATTAGCAGGAGCACGAGCAATACTAAACGTGATGCCATGAAACGTGCCTTTGCCGAGTGTCGCACGCAGTGGAGTTGGTTTTGTTTGAAAATAGAATTCGTGAAAATTATGGAGCGGCTGGCCGTTAAAGATGAGCTGTCAATAGCACCCGGCATCAGTGTGGTGCGAAATGTCAATGCGTCGGAAGTGAAAAGCAACGATTTAATGGCAGGTAGGTAAAAGTGCAGGAAATATTGATTTATTTTAGCTTACTGAAAATTTAGCGGCATTATTGAGTTGTGCTAGAGAGGAATTGTAAGACAGATGAGAGATGAACAAAATTTTAAGCGATAACTTAAAGGTTAGACACCCAATGGCTAGGAGCGTCGCTTCTGTGTTTTGCTTCATACGAGAGTGTCAGTGAAAATAGTAATATTTTTAATTTTTTTTCAATATTTTTATTTTTTTTTTAATTTTATTAATTTTCAATAAAAAAAAATGTTCAAAATACAAAAAAATTCTTAAGACTCAGTTTCTAACTTTGTAGCAATAAAAAAAAAAGAAATTGTCAAATGTTCATCAAAATGTCATACTTTTTATTCAGAATTTTCAAAATTTTTTGGGTATACGGTTTTATGGCTCATTCAATTTTTGTACATATAATAAAGTGCAAGTGTGTTCTTCCGTTTTTGCCCGTATGTATTTTTTGTTCACTCGCTTGCACAAGCTTTAACCGAACCCATATAAAGCACATTTTAAAAAAATTTAGGAAAACTCAACAAACTTTCCATCAAAATTTCAACTTTTTAACGTGAATCTTTAGAACATTTTTGTGGGTATGCAGTTTTACAGCCCATACAATGCTAGTCTACTGAAGTGCAAGTTTCAACTGCCTAAAAATCACATTTCTTTTTGAGAATTATTTTTTTTTTTGAGACTGCTTTTGCGTTTGTTTTTTTTTTTTTATAACAAGGGCAATTTACAAAAGCTGGGGAAAATTTATTGAATTTTCCTAAATTTTTTATCAAGTTTCAAGCTGTGACTTATATAGTTTTGGTTAAAGCTTGGGCGATTTTTTATAGAAAATATACAAAAGAAATTTAGCTCGAAAAACATAACGATAAAGTTTTATTTTTTTTATTAAGAACTTTTTATTGGTATATGGTGATTTAAAATTTGATGGAATTAAAAAGCTGCACTATACGTGACCTTTCTTCTCTCCGAAACGGCTGCACGGATTTAGATGAAATATGGCACGCGGATGGCTTATAACTCTGGCTAACATTTGGAATACTTTTTAGGTTTTTGAAATTCAATTTAGGGCGTTCTAACGACGTGGGGATTCACTAGTGTACATATGTTACCTGACTAAATTAATGAGCGTACCCGGATGACACAAAACTCTGAGCTCGAAAAACAATTTAAATACAAATATTTTTATAATACTTTACCTGTGAACTTTGATCATATAAAGGTTTAATAAGGCTATGTTTGTATACATAAGCCTCTTCTTTCATACTATTTTCCTTCAATTCCATGATTGGAGCAAGTCCCCTACAATTTTTATCTTTAGATCCCTATAAAAGTTCCTCATTCACAGCGATTAATCAATCATTTTCTTGTTGAGCAATCTGTGAACAGCATGCAAAATTATTGTCTATTCGAAGAACGACTTTTCTTCAAAAAGATCATGAGCGTTGTATTTTGGAACGAGTTTCCGCCCTCCCTTGTTAAATTTGGCTGGGCACTAGCAGCGAACACATCCGTCTGATTGTTCGCGCAGCATTTCGCCAATTTAGCTATTTTCCCATAAAATTTGGCTTTTTCGAAGTCCATTTAGCGGCAGGAAATCCAGCTTTTTGAGAAATTTCTTTACGAGTTTTTAGCTTTTTCGTTTATAAAATATAGCTACGGTGACCATATTTATGAGAGACGAATACGGGACAAAAAATAATTTTGCAAATTGTTCCCACAACAGCTTACAAATCTTAAAGCCGTCTTCAATGATTCTAGATGTATTAGCCCTGAAACAGTATCCTTCACGAATTTGTAGGATCATTTTCTCGAGATTTTTACCCCGTAAAATTTGTTAACAAAAAAAATCGTTAAATTTTATGCTATTTTAAGTCGCTAAAGCTTATTATTAATTTTTGGCAATTTTTTATTTTTTTTTGACGGTACTACGCATTTTTTCATACAAATTAATAAATACTTTGTTCGTCCGTTTTCTTGAAACAGAAGAAATGAGCAGCACTTTCCACTCGCACTTTATTATACTCAATTTTAATGAGTTAAAAAACTGCTAACCAGATTTTTTTCTAAAGATTCTAATTAAAAACTTTGAAATTTTGGTAAAAAATTTCAAAATAAATTTTTATAGTTTTTGAACAAAGTTGAAAATTTGGTGTTATATGGTTTTTGTTAGGAAAAGAGCTATACTTTCATAAAATAAATAAATAATAAACATCAAGTCCTAATTTCTATTTTGGTAACTTTATGTATTCCTCGATTCGAA